CTCTGCACAGGAATACAAATGTTTGGGAGATTACAGACTGTTTGCTCTGTCTGATAGGGTCACCTGAGGTCATTTAATCAAAGTACCATTTTATCTCTAGTCAGTGGCCCCCATTCAATGATCCTCCAGTTTTGGCAACAGGAAAATGTTACTTGCATTAAATTCAACAGTTTGTGATTTCTATAGCAGACAGTGCTAATGTATTTCTCAAAACAACTAAATCTTAACAGAATGATGTCCACTTCACCTCTTTGTCCTGCTTTGTCACTATTTGCAGCTGAGTGCAATTTACACTTTATTTAAAGTTAAAGTGGACCCCCCAAGTTATCTAGTGGTCTTGCAGCATTCTTTATATACCTCAGCTAGTACCTGGTAATTAGTAGAGCCAATGGATGTTTCTTTACAAAATTGTACACATTTGTAATATTTAATACATGTAATAAGGACATGGTTTTAGTGGTCTCTCCATACTTATTAAAATGCTTGTAGGACTTTAAAAAAAATGGATAAAAGTGAAAATTAACTTATCATATGAAGAGTAATCTTCATTTAAGGTAGGATCATATTTCTAATATTTAAAAATTAATGAAATTTTCACAGAATCAAAAGACAATATCAGTAAATTTAGTGAAATTAAATTTGACCGCTTTATATTAGAGGCAAGGTCAGGTCAAGGTCATTATCTTTATCCTTGACATAAAGAATAAAAAAATACTGTTACCAATCATGTGAAACCTACTTCTATTTCAAAAGTTTAAAGATTGTTCTTTTTGCATAAAAACATATTACTAGATCGGGTCTATAGCATGATATTACCAAATTTACATAAATAGTTAAACTTAACTGGATATTGGCTAATCCGAATTTCCTCTGTTTTTTTTAATTTTTTAGGATATATTAGTTATTTTCATATGCTTCCTATATTTAACTTTTTCTTATTTTCACATATAATAAAGCAGTCTTATAAATATATATAAGAGAGAAAAAATACTTTTTATGGATTTTTGTCTGCACTTTGATAGGAAAAAAGCTCACAAAGTTCTAGTTTGTTTGGAAAATCATATTTATTTGATATATGAAAGTTTAGTCCCTCATTATTAATTTAACATACATTTGAAAATTTCTAAATTGTGTAAAAATTATAACTAAATTCATTGTTCTATTATAATTTTGAGACAGAAAAGAAGATGCCACCATTCCGCCAAAAATATAGTCCCTGCTAGTTTTCAAACGCAGCTTACCATTTCTATTTAAAGTTGTACAATTGTGATGAGGAAAGAAAAATATAGTCTTTTAAATTCCTTACACATCAATGTAAAAGACATATAAGCAAATATACTTTGAATGTTTCATCTAGTCAGAAACCAGAGAAGAATCCTACCTTAAATTATCTAATCAAAGAAATAAATTTATGATGATTAAAAACCATTCCATACTATATGGATTAAAAAGATTTGTCTTCAAAACGCTACTCCTCCTACAATTTTAGTCTGATTTCAATATAACTTGGCACACAAGTAGACTACACTAAGATACATAGAATAGTGCATGGGTTTTTAATTTCAATGAACGGTGTTGCCATGGTTACTAAAAATAGAATTTTCTGTGAAATTAAACGATTTCAATATTTTTGATTGTTAGCATCGGTTTTTGAGTCGATGAACGGTGTTGCCATGGTTACTAAAAATAGAATTTTCTGTGAAATTCCTTTAAAACGCTACTCCTTCCACAGTTTTGGTCTGATTTCAATATAACTTGGCACACAAGTAGACTACACTAAGATACATAGAATAGTGCATCTGTTTTTGATTTCGATGAACGGTGTTGCCATGGTTACTAAAAATAGAATTTTCTGTGAAATTCCTTTAAAACGCTACTCCTTCTGCAGTTTTGGTCTGATTTCAATATAACTTGGCACACTTGCTATATCATAGAATAGTGCATCGGTTTTTAATATACGGTGTTGCCATGGTTACTATCTAGAATTTTCTGTGAAATTCCTTAAAAACGCACTCCTTGTACAGTTCTAGTTTGATTTCAATATAACTTGGCACACAAGTAGACTACACTAAGATACATAGAATAGTGCATCGGTTTTTAATTTCGATGAACGATGTTGCCATGGTTACTAAAAATAGAATTTTCTGTGAAATTCCTTAAAAACGCTACTTCTTCTACAGTTTTGGTCTGATTTCAATATAACTTGGCACACAAGTAGACTACACTAAATTACATAGAATAGTGCATCGGTTTTTAATTTCGATGAACGATGTTGCCATGGTTACTAAAAATAGAATTTTCTGTGAAATTCTTTAAAAACGCTACTCCTTCTACAGTTTTGGTCTGATTTCAGTATAACTTGGCACACAAGTAGACTACCCTAAGATACATAGAATAGTGCATCGGTTTCTGAAAAACGGTGTTAATGGTTTAAAAATAGAATTTTCTGTGAAATTCCTTAAAAACGCTACTCCTTCTACAGTTCTAGTTTGATTTCAAAATAAGTTGGCACACAAGTAGCCTACACAAAGATACATAAAATAGTGCAATGGTTTTTGATAAGTACATACCATGTATGAAGATGTGTAGCTATACTGTATTTGGAGCCGGTATTTTAAATTGAGAAGACATTCACAAATGGCAAATATATATAGGCATTTGTTGTGAAAAATCATGTAACATGAGTCACTTAATGGACATGTCTGCTGGTATAAATATGGAAACAAATGACTCTGAAAAGTTTTACATGAGTAATTCATGTTCCCATAATAAGTGATGGGAAAAAAACTCATATGGATTAAAAAGATTTGTTCTGTGCTCATTTAAAAGGCAGAAAGTACAAGTAGGCAGATATTGGGAAGATAAACTAAACATGTTCAATTGTTAGCAAATACAGTACAGTTGAACTTTGGTATCTTGAACACGAATATCTCAAATACTGTGGGTATGTCAAAGTGAATTGGAATTCTTTTAGAATTTACCCTTGCTATATCAAATCCTTGGATATATTCTTGGTCCCATCTAGTTCAAGATACATGTAATAATTACATCTTTAGCTAACTGAGTAAATATGACAATACCTTATACTGTAAAATAATATTTTCATGGGGTCATATTTTCTTGGTTTGACAGGAAAAAATTATGTTTGTTGGAATATTATTTCTTGGATAATGGAAGTTGAGTTGCGCTATGTATGAAATGTGTCATATATTGGAGGACTTGATTTAGGGGTACTCCTCATACCACAAAAAGAATCGAGCCCCATAGAAAAATTGGTGTTTTCATAGTACTACATGTAGTAGCTGCTATGCAGTATATAAATGCCCCAAAGTGTACTAGTTCATCATCTTTATCGATAAATGGCATATGTGATAAATTTATATTTAGTTTGGAGTGAAATTAGAATTTTAAAAGGCATCAGTCATGGGAATACCAGTAAACTTATAAAACGTCTGATTTCTCAATCTGATGTGTATATATTTGCAGACATTATCTTCTGATAAGTGGCTATGATTAAGTCTGTAAACAATGTTTTGGAAGAAATAAAATTTTTAATTAATTGGAAAGAGATAAAACCATTGGCTTGCCACTCGTCACTGACTACCATTTCTTTGTACACTGCCTACTCCGTTACCCTATTCAATTGTTATTGTTTTATCTGATGGTGGCCTTTTGATAGCCAATTGTTCTACATGTTAGTCATGATTGCTTGGTTAGATACTGCAGAGTTCATTTTAAATTGTTGGGGTCAATGTTCGAGGGCAGGCAAAATTTTACTTGATTTTTGAGCACTGACTAGTTATTTTTTGGGTAACTGCGGTTTGCCATGATGATGTTATTATGGTAAATTCAATAAATAAAATCATTGACATAATTCTTCATGGGGATGTACATTCATGTTAGTAAGAGTGACCGAAGAAATCTGCAAACTTGGATACAAACAATGATGATATTGATACCACAATGAAATACAGTTGATTCTCAATATTTTGAATACTGATCATAATACTGTATGTGTACTTAAAATAGCGGGCTTCATATTTTAGCGGCTTTGGCACAGACACTGATGCTCTAATTCATGAATAGCACTAAGAAATCATTTTTAAATAGAATATACAGCACAAACATGTATAGCGCTAATTCATGATTATGCCAACAACTCCATATCCATTGAAAGCACTAAATTTTGAATACGCTAAATTATGTACATGTACACTATCTCAATATTACTATGGATATGTTAAAGTGTTGTGGAAGTCCCAGCCACCCATTCATTAAGTATTTTACCTTGGATAACCTTGAGCCCTTGAATTTCTTGAATTATTTTCTCAGTCCAATCAAGTTAAAGATAACAAGGTTTGACTGTGTACCGCTGTTAACATATACACATGTTACACAAAAATCAATTTGCAAAAATACTCCCCCTTTTGCACTTTGCCACCTTCATTAAAAAAAATATATCCCAGGCCCCCAACGGACATTTTCCTTGACCTGCATAAGGCCTCAAAGGTACTCAGACCCCTTGTTGTCCAATATAGCCCCCATGATCCTCCCCCCAAGATTCATGTTTACGTGGTGTACTAAAATATTGGCCCTTTTAGCAATTTGTGATGCATATAAAACCCCTTCCCATGAGTTCTTAAGGTTCTTTTTAAGTGAGTTCAAAGAAGTTATTTTTTTTGTGTCAAGCATTCTCTTGAATGAAATTGGAACAAAAGGAAATACATTATTCTTACAAATACATTTACAAAGAAATTGTCTGGAAAATTACTTAAACAAGGTCACCAATGTACTCTGTAAGCATTGGTACTTCTAATTTAATTTAATAAAAAATGACGAATGATACCTTAACCCCCTTTATGCTATAGAATTATCATATGCAATGTACCAGTATACATGGGAAGATCCAAATATATTGGTTTTGTCAGGATGATGCATGTAAAGACAGAAACTAATAAAATGTGTATATGTTTCATTAAATGTACTTCCTTTAATTACAGGTTCCCTCACTTGTCCACAGTCTGTCACAACCAGCTATTTTTGCCATGCGGCAACAGACCCAGTTCCTGTGGGAAGCTTACTTCTCTTCTATGGACAAAATCATCCACACAGTTCTAGAGGTACACCACAGGGAAAGTTAGATTCAAAGGGGTACTCCCACAGGGAAAGTTAGATTTAAAGGGGTACCCCCACAGGGAAAGTTAGATTTAAAGGGGTACCCCCACAGGGAAAGTTAGATTTAAAGTGATTAAACAGAGATAACAGCTACTGAGATTTTTAACAGTAGACTCATTGAAGTTAGCATTGTAATGCAAGAGAAGCAATGAACACAGCAGGCTTATGATCTTGTGTTAGTTTAATAGCTTTGAAGAAAACTAAAGGGAAATGCCCTTCTTTTTTTCACATTTATGCTTAATTTTAAGTTTAAAAAAATAATCTTGGACTGAAAGATAGCATTAAATGATAACATTTAGAAAATAAATTGCTCATGGATATTAAAAGCAGCAAAGAGCTTCACTGATAAAAAAAAAAATTGAAATAAAAAAGAATCATGTTTTAATTAACATTTTGAATTAGAATTGTTTTTATAGCTACAGTCTATATACCTATGTCAGTTTCTTAGAGAAAAGTGCATGCATGTCATTAGAATGTTTTGACTACATGTCTATGATTAGCATTATTCAATTGCCATTCTTCACGCGTTCTGCAACATAAGATTTTTCGGCTGCTTATGAAATACCTGTCAGAATTTAAATTAAAATCAAAATGTTACATGAATGAAATGAGCTTGTCTCTTGGGTTTCCAGTTATGATGTTTTTCTGTGATATGAAGTGACATTTAAGGTTATGTTGTATTTGGCAGCAATGTTGAATTTACTTAAGGCTCTGCGAACACCCTGGCTTCCCTGAGTGCTAATTTAAAGGGCATAGAATCTTAGTTTTGTTATCTTTTTGAAATCGCCTACTGTGTAAATTTCAAGCAGCAGAGAGTTGTTTTTTTTCTCTCTCTCTTCTTGTGTATGTAGGTATAGGCAGGTTGTTAAGATTTTTTTTTCTTACTTCAGATAAGGTATTAATTTACTAGGCATTGTGAGGTGGAAGTTATAAATACTTTCTTGCGGGATTTAAGATTGTAGTTTAGCACTTTGGAGTAATAAATCTTTTTTTGTTTGACTACCTTGTCTGATTGGCTTGTTAAATGGTTTACTGAGAAAGTCATGGGAATTTCTCTTAGCAAAATGAAAACATTTTTTGTTAAAACGTGGACATCCTTTCATCTATAAGGGGCTTTCTCAAAACTGGTAATTCTGTCTTCAGTGAAAATGGTTATTTTATTAAAAATGCTTCCTTGATCATTTTACAGTTGCTGCATGGTCTTGAATTATTTTTAATAAGATAATCAGTGGCAAATGGGAAAAAAGTTTTCCAGATGCAGACACATATGACTGGGAATTAATTTGACCTCTTTCTACCATTAATAGATAATTAACCTATCAGACTGTCTGTCCATATATTAATACATTATATAGTTGTGATTGTAATTTCATCATTGAACCTAATTAGGAAAGAATTTTTCCAGAGTTGTTGCTTTGTATGTAATGTACTTAGCAGTATATACAATATACCATAGAAGTGGGAAATTTTAGTGAGACACAAATTTAGCAATTTGTCCTTAAAACTGGTATTTATTTTTATGGAGATGTAATTTTAGTGATATTAAAATGCTCACTAAAGAAGCCATTACAAATAAACATGATAAATTCTTAGTGATAGTCAATTTTAGTGATCTCTTCACCCTTGCTAACAATGCCAAAATTTAATCCTCCCTAAAAATTCTGATTATACGAAATTTTCAAAAGACTTGACTTTATGATGCATTCAAAGGCCAAGTGAAGGCAATTTTTTTTAATACATCTTCTTCCCATTTCAGATAGTGAAAGACCGAGTGAGGAGCTTCTTTTCACGGAATTCCGTTCATTGGAACAATTTTCCTGGTGCTTTAAACCTTCTTCCGGAATACTCAGATGTGCTTCATACATATCCCTCATTTTACAGACAGTATGCGTACAAATCTAACAACCAGTTTACAGTGGTTGTGTACGCCACTTCCCCGGTGCTCCTGTCGTCTGCTCCGCTGTTCCGGTTGATCCGGACGGTAGCCAAGTCTCCTTTTGTACAGAAGGTAATTTTTTGGTTGGGTGCAAAAAAAAAAAAAATTTCATGCTTGCAAAAAATAATAATAATAATAATAACAATAATTAAGATTAAAAATTTTATTGAATGAATGAAAAAAATATTAATTTTAAATGCATGAGAGCAAAAAAAAAATATCAGTTGCATAATATTTAGATTTTATTTGGGATTTACAAAAAAATAAGTTTTAATGGTGAAAAACTTCTCTAGTTAATAATGGAGAAATGATACAAAACTACATGCATGTACTCAATTTTGTCCCTCTGTGAGTTTGTCATGAACAAAATATAAACCCTACTAGGCTAAACTCTTAATGATGTCTTTGCCATTGTAAGAAAAAACATCTAATGAAGGGGAAAAAAAGAAACATAAGAAAAGAAATTCTCTGGAGACATTCAGGCACTCTAAAGAACAGGCATAAAAGAAATAATTCTCCTTGACTGACCTGAGTGATTCGCAGTAAATTGGTCACATTGGAAGTGTAAATCCCATTTATTTCCTTTTTGGTCAGAAAAATTTCCCATTAAACCTGATGGACATGTAATTTGTTCTAGCTAATTTGGGACTAAATTCAGGAAAATTAGATAAAGTGATCCTAAGCAAGTTGGAAGACAGTTCACTGCTCTTGTAAGGGCTCAGCGTTTATGTTTGTTGGATTGACTGTGTCCAATTCATTTTGTGATCAAAATCAATCTCCACACACACTTGTCTGATCAAACATGTAACATTTTTACCCTTCATGGAACAGTATGAAAAGGAAACCACCAAATTTGATAAAATGCAGCGATTTTTTAAAAACGTATACAAACATGAAATATTTCATAATACAATTTGAAGGATTCAGTAACACCACACGTAATGGAAAAGTCAGACATTAAGTGCACATTTTAAATCAATCTGTGATTATTTTCGTAATAAAACATTTTATTTTTAATATTAAAGCGGGTCTGTAATTAATTTAGCCTCAATGATTTTCTGACAATTATCATGTAGAAATTGCATTCAGACAAAAGATAATTATTGGCAACTTTTCTAACTGACTTGTGAATATTTTTCTGAATGTTGAGCCCTGATTTGCAAAATTCTTTATGATGTTATTTCTTACATATAAAACCACCACAGAAATTTATTTTAAAATGAAAACTTGAACTTTTAATTAAAAGTAATGATCACTGTTGTTTTGTAAAACAAGATTGAAGAAGTTATCTCCCTTGCATACCATGGCAGAAAGAAAATGATGTAAATTTTGATCATTTCTTCTATTCAACAGATTGTGGTAATCTGGAACTGTGACACCCCTCCACCCCCCTCCTACCAGTGGCCAGCTGACCTTGGTATTCCTATACTAGTCAAAACCAAAATCCAGAAGGTAAGATCTAGGCATATTTAGCATTAAGTTAATGAGTTATCGAGAGTTAATTCATCATTTTGATGAAGTACTGCAATAAATAATGTGATATAATACAGTAATAAATTATATCTGTGATTGTGTTTGCAGTCTGTGAGTGCTCGGTTTTATCCCTATGAAGAAATAGAGACAGATGCTGTGTTCAATTTAGATGAGGACTCTCTTATGACCACAGATGAGGTATGCTAAAGACCTTAAGTTTAAAAAAACTTCTTAAAAATAAACATGATAAGATTTTAGATCGATGGAGTAGTAGAGTTGCAAAGTTTTTAAATTAATGCCAGTTCTTGGCTTATCTTGAAATGTGGGCTCATAAAGTTATTACTTTCATCCTTCCATCCATCATTTACAATTTCTTGAGTGTAATTTTTAGCCTAAAGACTTCATTTCATGATCATAGCTAGAAGATGATTCCACTGTGTTCAATTTGTAAGTCCAAAGTCCAAAAATGATTTAATTTAAGGTTGTTTTCAAGGTAAAAAAATTTAAAGATTTACTGATCAAAGCAAACTGCAAGACCCTTGATAATTTGTCAGCTTTTTAGGTTTCTGTTTGTTATAAAAAAAAAAATATGTGTAATATCTTTCAGATCAATTTTGCCTTCAAAGTTTGGAAAGAATTTCCCGAGCGGATCGTTGGATATCCGGCTAGGAACCATTACTGGGACGAGGCCAAGAACACATGGAGCTACACCTCCAAATGGCTGAACGAGTACTCCATGATTCTTACTAGTGGTGCTATTTATAATAGGTAATTATAAAGAAGTGGATTTTTTACTGGATTTTCATCATGATTGGTTTGAAACATTTTATATCTTGATTTTCTGCAAGAATTTGTCTGAATCATATAAATGAGTGATGTATGGAGTTGAAGTGGAGCATGCATGATTGTCTTTGTTTAAACAACCTTAATGAGTCCTGAAAAATAAAAAATTTTAGACAGAAATCAAATCAGCCTCAAAAGAAATTATTACAATCTCTTAACTCAATGATGTTGATGATTTAATTCATTAGAATATTAAGATAGATTTCCTTAACTCCAAGATGTTGATGATTCAATTTACTTGAATAATGGATATAAAATCATAAATGTATCTTGCTTTTTATCCAGGTACTATAACTTCTTGTATACTAACACCTTACGACCCGCCGCCTTACAAGTTGTGGAGAAACTACAGAACTGTGAGGATATTCTAATGAACTTCATAGTCAGTGATGTCACAAAACTTCCACCAATCAAAGTCACTCACCGCAAGGTTGCCAAGGAAACCATGCTGCCTGGCAAATCTTTGGCCAATTGGTCAACCAATGAAGTCCGGTTCAAACAGCGACAGTCATGTATTTCATCCTTTGTGGAAATTTTTGGATACATGCCCTTAGTTCGCTCCAAGTCCCGAATGGATCCAGTGCTTTGGAAAGACCCCGTCTCTAACTTAAGGAAAAAATACCACCAACTGGAAGTGATATGATCATTTAAAAGTATTTCTTTAGAAATTTTTTTAGGTAGATTTGTACTTATTTACATGTTGATATGTTTTTGACATGAATTTTAGAATTGTAGGAAGTATACAGTTCATTTGCAATATGCAATTTTTAATTATTTTAAGAATCAATTGATGAATTGTTATGGAATTTATTGTATATTTCTATAATGCATCATCTGATGATGGTGAAAATATGTATGTATAATACGATGTATTAATTTATGATTATTTGTATTATAAAATATCAAATACATGGAAACAGATGAAAATTTTTATAATCCATTTTATATATTTTACAAATGCTTACTGGATTTGCATTTATTTATTTTTGCTGCATCAGTTAAATGTATGAGTTTTCAGAGTTTGGAAATGTGAATCATTGAATGAGATATTTATATCAGTGTTTCATCATGTGTGAAATGGTCATAAAGTTAAAAAAAAAAACATAAATATTAATGGATAAATATATAGATGTACATTCTAAATATAAGCTAATTTGCTGTTTTCGTTGTCATAAAACTAAAAATAGATGTTTATTTAAGCCATATACTATATTCAGATTAGCTTTGAATTTGATTTACATAGAGGAAAAATAACTTAGTAAGATATCATCTCATTTAATGTATCAGGTTTTTAACTAGAAGTTAGGCATTTAAAATATGGAACATTGACTATACATAATTTATTCAGGAGTTCTCTTGAAAAGACTTGATCTCTGCTGAAATTTGTCATCATCCATAACAAAGATTTTCATTCCTTGAAATTTTATATACTTTTGTGTCTCTATTGGTTATGTGTATCCTAGAATGCTACTACTGATCATAGACTCTAAAAGAGAGAGAGAAAATGAGTCTTACTGGATATTCTGGGAGGCATGTATATTTATCATGTGCAATACTGGCATAATTTGGCATAATTTTATGTTTTTAGATGTGTACATAAATAGTCAGTCAGCTTTACAGAACAAATCTTTGTAGACTTTGCATGCATTATTTTATCTTTTTGTTCTTTAAAATACATATATTTCTAGTAAGGATCACCAGAAATTTTTAGTACACCTATATCCTCTGATTTTTCGGTAGATTTTTGTTTAAAGTTGAGTTTATATATGAATGTACTTTAAGCTACCGATGTTTTACCACCATAAATGCATATATTAATTGATTGAGGATCACCCAAGAAGTGAAATCATGTGATACTGTATTTATAGTACTCAAGATCTATTAATATCATGAATCTACCTACATTGTGATAAGAATGGATCTTTAAATATTTCTCTAAAAAATTAAATTAGAAGAAAAATTTCAAACAAAGCATGGGTATTGTATCTGTGGGATTTATTTTGAAAACATTAAAGCATAAAGTAGTGGGAATTGTGTTTAAAACAATAATGGTTGCAAAAGATATTCTTTTTGAGTATCTAATTTCCTAGCACAATATAATACTATTGTTAAAGTTACTGCAGCTTGAATTTCAAACATGAATACTTACCAGAAGTTCAAATGTTTTAGTTCTTTAAGAGTTCATTATAAACTGATGTAAATTTTGTTATCATTAATTCTTCAGGAGACAGAATCATTTTGCTTCATCCTTAAACTTGCTATACATTAAAATGTTACCAAAATGTTGCGAAGAACTTGGTCAGTTCACTTTATCTGTAAATTTACTTATCCGTGTTCATATAAATAAATTTAATTTATTCAAAGTATATACACATAAAATTTGGGAGATTGCCTTACAGTACATTATCAAAACAATAGGCATATTGTCATTATTTATATGCATGGTTTTTTTTCCCAACAACATAAAATATTGCATAAATGTAGAAAAACAAATTTGGTATTTCATTCCTAGATATCACTAATTGTGATCAGTTCAACATTGTACATGACAAACTGAACAGTGCTGTATAAAACACAAACCCCAAATTTTAAAAGGTTGTAGTCCTTGAATTTTATGAAGAATAAATCTTGTGCCAAAACTTATGTACATATAACAGAGGAACTTGTTTTCTTAATTATTGCCACATCTTACATTTTTATTATGTTAATGCTTGCAAGATGAAGAATCATACAATTTAACAGGAGTGATTAATATTTAGAGCTTTTGCTTCAGGACAATGCCAGATGTTTGGGACACTCATTCAAATGGCAAACTTTGTGTTGTACTGTTTTTAATATGAAGTATGTGCTTTGACAAGTAGACAAGATGATGCCTTTTCAATTAATGAAAAAAAGTTGTCTATTTCTTACCTTGATTCCCATTGGTAATTATGGCACGCAATTGTGCAGAGCCTTTGTGAAGTCTGCAGAGGCCTGCCTTATAGCTTGGATTTAACAGCTATTATATTGTTATAGGACAGTAAATTTAGTTTTACAAGAAATTTTGTAATTTTGAGAATGAATTTTGTCAAATACTGATGTATGAAATATGTTAATAATATAGTTCAGTAAGGGAATATTTTCAAGTATAAGATTTTCAACGGCTGTGTTTTTCGCTTTACTGGCCAGAGACCAGGAACACTATTGCAAAAGAAAAGTGTGCATCATCATCTATTTAAATGTTTGTCTGAAAACAATGTTTCAAAATGCTTCTTCTAATGTTTTGGTCCGATTTCAATATAACAGTACACAAGCAGATTAACGCTGAAGAAACTAAATTCTGTTCATCAGTTGTTTAATTTTGATAAACAGTGTAGCAATTTTTACTTAAAGAAAAAAAAAAGAAATTCTCATAAATTTCTTTCGGAAAGCAATTTCTCAGGCATAGTGGACTTGAACCTATACAAAAAAAGACTAAACCAGGATCAAATATTACAATAGTTTCAAGTTTCTTTTGTTCTAATAGAGACCTGGTGTTTATATGCTTTATAAGTTAGGATTGATAGATTGTGATGCAAACTTGCATTTGAAATTTTCATGACATTTCTTGATTGTCAAGGAATATCCCTCATATATTTTGTTATCACTATATTTTGATTAAATCACACTTTCTAAGAACAGTTTTCTTTTTCTCTTTTTATCAGTTGTGAGGAACTAGTTGCTAAAAAAATGTATGATGAACATTGAAGTTTTGTATACATGTGTATCTGGTATAATCTTTTCACATTTTAAAGTGACAGTATGGCACATCTCTTCACAGACAGACATGTTAAAAATTTCCTATAGGATTTCAATTGGAATTTTTTTTCATACTCATAAGTGTATACACTTTCAGAAAATTACAAAATTCATAAGTAAATAATTCTGATTATTTCATTAAAATTAATAATTATTTATGGTACATAAATATATACATCGCAACGTGTTCGAGGTTCCATATTCCATGCTATACACGCATGCGTGTAGTTTTCATAAACAAAACAGCATGGTAAGAGAGGGAAGCCCGGTAGGCCTGCTACATTGACAAAGTCGACCAAAACGAAAAACAAAACCAAAAATAGGGCTTGAAATTAAAAAGGAACTTTCCTGACAAAAATTTAGTTGGGAGATTAATATAATCATTGGATGAAGAAGGAACGGGATCTCGGCGACATTCACGTGGGGCTCGCGAAGGTTCTACAATGTACCCTGTTGATACATGCTATCATTTCTCGTATCTCCATGGCTTTCTGAGAAAAAATATCAGTGTAAACTCAACATAAGAATGCACTTATGACATATAAAAATTATTGCCATTTGAAGTGCAAATTGTATTGGAACTACAGAAAGATATTTTATTGACATTTTGCCGCGATGACGTACGATTTGGTGGAATTTCCTTTCCTGCACCCCAATACACAAAACGTCAACATTGTGCTTAATCATGTTAAATTCGTCTGAATGCAGACTAAAATGTTAACTAAAATGTTAATTTATCAAAGGGTTAAGATATTTTGATTCTGAGAATTGCTTTTACCTAACATTCCGTTATAATTGTAAACCCTACATTGTATGCACGTGCCATTTTAGAATTCACGTGGTACAAGTAAACAGATCTAAGTTGTACGACCCTTGATTTTCCGTTAATTTTGTATGAGGAGAGAATATTTATTTTTCTCAAAATGCTTACTTCAACTTTTTACCTTATTCCTGAATGATATATTGGGTAAATTTGAATGAAAAAGCACACGATTTGCAGCCGTATTGCCGCTTTAATTAGTGCACTAATCTCTTGATGTCCAGAAGTGATCCATGTGTCCATCTCCTCAAATATTCAGAGTATACTTTCATTCCCTTGGCCAAGATGAGCTTGGTTTGCAAGTAGGTAGAGGGCTTTCAGTGACCTTGAGCAGGTTTTTGAGATCAAGTTCAAGGTTTACAATTGCAAGAGGCACAGGGCCTTAAATTGCTCTTCTGATAAATTGTACAAAATATCACTGCTAACTGAAGCCTCTAAGTAATCTGTATATTCAAATCAAGCCTTGAAAATCCAAAAAAAAAGGTCATTGTGACCCTCATTTTAATTAACATTTTCTGAGAACCCAGGTTGCACCAGCTGACAACAATTAATGATTCTAAGCCTCTTATTATCTTACATTCACAGAAATAGCTAATATTGTTAACATGCTTAATGCATCATCTTAGTTATATTTAGAATACGAGTTTCCTACTGTATCGGAGATATAGGGCGTGGCTAAAGTTTGATGATTTTTAAGCCTGTTATTACTGAAAATATCAAGATATTGCCTTGAAAATTCCTAATGTAAGTTACCGACCAACTTTTTTATTTTTAAATTGTATTGGACGTAGAGCAGCATAAAATCAGTCAATCAATCCAGACATTGTGTAGATTGTATTTTATTCAGATCATTTTCCCTAGGGATGTTAGGGCCACATTAGGGAATGAACCTTATGTGTGAGTTAAACACTCTCGGATTGGACGTAAAACAACATAAAATCAATCAATCTAGACATTGTTTAGATCGTAATTATAACTTACTTTAAAATCATTTTTCTTGGGGATAAGTTAGGGCCTCAATAAGAAATGAAAGTTATATTCATATGTAGACAGATTTTTTTTTCTCAAAGACCAATGAACCAGAAAAGCTAAGCACGAGCTGGTGATAACAGTTCCTGACAGTTATGCAGATGTGTCCCGTAGGAGTGTTGTAGGTCGAGGTAGTCAATCAACGTTTTAAACTGAAATATATTATGAGGAAAAAACGTTTGTGTACAAAAATGGACCATTTGACATTGAGGTATACCCGGAAGTCAGCAAAAATATCTGGTCTTGTCCCAGAGGTGAAAACGAGGTGAAATCTAAACATTACTAAAACAATCACATGCAGAGGGATTTATCAATAATTCTACATTTAAAGTTTTCCATAAATCAATAACCATTTCAGCAGATTAGTTCAATGTCATTCAGCCTCAAGGTACTAACTGCAACAAAAAATATATGGACAGATTAGTGATTTCTATCACAGACAATTCTTCAATTCGAATAAAGTGCTCTTTTACAAGTTCATTGTTATTATTACATATTGTCCCTGTTCGTGAATTACACACGTATTAAAATTTTTCGTTCAAAGCGACAAACAACTGCTATTATCCATTTCTCTTCCGTGTTACTATCTTCACTTCTATATACATTAAACAAGCAAATACAGAGAATTATGTCCCCCACTTTCGGTGTCTTTGTAGGTGAGATGTCATTATTTATGGCATATTGTGTTAAATATGAACGCGCTATCATATGTCATTCAAAAGTTTCACCAAAATAGATTTTTTTTAATTAAGTCAAACATGAAGGTCAAGGGTCAGAAATTATAGCATGCTCGGAAATATGCACATGTCAATAATGAAAGCCCTATCTCTTTTCAATCAGTTATTTAAAGAAAAAATTACATTTATGAAAAGTAGGTCGAACGGTAGGGTTCAAGGTCACGGGGTAAAATATCATTGTATATTTTAGAAAGATCTTGCCATAGGTTATATACATGTACATGTGAAAGGTTAAATCCCCAAATCTTCTCATCCAAAACTATGACTAGGGTTAATGTTTTTGAAAAGTAGATCAAACTTCCAGGTCAAGATCACAAGGCAAAAATCATAGTGTATTTTGAAAGGACATGTAATACATGCACACGTTTAAAATGGAAGCCCTATGGTCGTTATGGCCAATTTAAAGTAATGTTTTCAAATTTTTGAAAAGTGTTTAAAACATTAAGGCCAAGAGATCAAAAATCATAGTGTATTTAGAAAGGTCTTGCAGGCGCGTAGCATCGTTTTTGGAAGTGGGGGGGCCAACCTGAGAAAATTTTTTTTTTACTTACTTGAAAAAGTTGACAAGCAAAAAAAAAAAAAAAAAAAAAAAAAAAATGTTGCCCGAAGTCGAAAATCTATTTCGTGGGGGGGGGGGGGGGGGGGGGGGGGGGGGGGAGTGGCTAACTTTTTTCATGACCAACTATCTTTCAATTCAAACTTTTTGGGGTTAATTTTCTTATAACACTACCCTTTGCTGAAAGTTGGGGGGGGGGGCAACGTTCCTTTCAGTAAACATTTTCTATAGTAAAGGTAATGTCGGGAGAAAAAGTGGGGGGGGGGGGGCCTGGCCCCCCCTGATACTACGCCCCTGTCTTGTCACAGGTAATAAACTTGTGCAATATGATTAAACATTACCTGTGATAACTTGTCAAGACCTTTCTTAATATATTTGTGTAATATGATCCGCCGAAACATGGCTGAAAAATTGCCGATTCGGCGTTAAACAATATGCAATCGATCAATCAATCATGTGTAATATGAAAGACATCTGTTCTCATTCAAAAGATATGACTAGGATTAAAGTTTTTTGTGACAGACGGACAGACTGACAGTCCAATGAAATTTGATGTCCCCTCGCTTATGCGATACAAGGGGGACAAATTTGAAAGCCCTGGCTCAAATCATTGAAAACATGGACTAGTTTAAAGTTGTTTTTCCAAAAATCGGTAAACCTCCATGATCATAATTATATTACCCAAGAAAGAATATTTGGCAAAATTGGGTCAAACTCCCAAGAGGTTCCGAGCCTTAATTCGTTTTGTCAGTACGTATATATACTTAAGAAAACAAAGCTGATTCAAGGCTTTGTACTTCACTTAAATTGCCATTGCAAATAGATCTAATATGCAAACAATGTAAAAAAAAAAAAGCAAAACTGGAAACAAATGTGGTTGTGTCCCTAAAACTTATGTCTAGTAAGTCATTTCTGCTTTATCTAAAATTTTCTTTAGCGTCCTCCTCCCTCCTTCCAAGAAAAATAAAATTGTTTTATACGGGGCTGACATCAAATTTTGGCAAAACCTAAACTTGAATTAAAATTCAAAAACAGGACTTACTTTTGATACTTCTTCTAACATCTTTCCCGGTGTCTCTTTCACTAACTGTGCATTACTGGTAACTACGATTTTGTATTTACCGGTTTTATCTTTCTTTACCACTTTATATTTTGATCCTCCGCCCCACCAGCGAGCTTCTACATGTACAGGTGACGAGCACCATTCCAAAGAAACCAGCAGCAAAACAACGACAAGCATAACTGTAGACTGAATTAATTGTGATTTATTTACAGATTGTAACACTTTTTTATTTATGTGAAAATACACTATCATGTTAATATACACGTACTATAGAACACATTTTTAAAATATTTCAGTTACGGACAGACATAAAGATAAAGAGGAAGTGAACATCGGATTTGAATAAAAATGAATCCCACCATATGGCATGCCCCAGCAAAGAGTGTACAGAAATTTTAATCATCTGCAATGAGTAGTTGCTGAGAAAACTGCGACGAAAATTCCTTATGTATGGTAGAGACCGACGCTCGGATAAAGAGAAAGTTGACATCGAATTTGAACAAAAATTAATCCCACCACATGGCAATGCCTTAGCAAAGAATGAACTAAAATTTCAATCATCTACAACGAATAGCTGCTGAGAACACTGCGCCCAAATATTTGTTACAGACAGACAGACGGACAGACACACAAGGGTAAAACAGTATACCCCCCCCCCTCTCCTTCGAAGCGGGGTATAAAACTAGAAATATGTCCATAGGACATGAATGCCCCGCAGAGGATATATTAGTAAAGCAACATGAAAATTTGTATGTGTATAAAATTTGATCAGAATATCTTGAATAGTGATGCAGCTGAATTGCTTACATTAGTATGTATCAGCATATGAAGTTTGACACTAATTTCGTTAAAGTGAGGTCCCTAGATGCATTATCCATGCAAGTTTGGTTCAGGCAGGGCTTATAGTTACTTGGGAATGAAAATATAGGTCAGATCCAGCATCCGAAGCAAGTCTGGTAGTGTCCATCCCTAAATGCATCATCCACGCAAGTTTGGTTCATGTAGGGCTTATAGCTACTAGGGAATAAAAATGTAGGTCAGATCCAGCATCCGAAGCAAGTCTGGTAGTGTCCATCCCTAGATGCATCATCCATGCAAGTTTGGTTCAGGTAGGGCTTATAGTTACTTGGGAATGAAGATATAGGTCAGATCCAGCATCCGAAGCAAGTCTGGTAGTGTCAATCCCTAGATGCATCATCCATGCAAGTTTGGTTCAAGTAGGGCTTACAGTTACTTGGGAATGAAAATATAGGTCAGATCCAGCATCCGAAGCAAGTCTGGTAGTGTCCATCCCTAGATGCATCATCCATGCAAGTTTGGTTCAGGCAGGGCTTATAGTTACTTGGGAATGAAAATATAGGTCAGATCTAGCATCCGAAGCAAGTCTGGTAGTGTCCATCCCTAGATGCATCATCCATGCAAGTTTGGTTCAGGCAGGGCTTATAGTTACTTGGGAATGAAAATATAGGTCAGATCCAGCATCCGAAGCAAGTCTGGTAGTGTGCATCCCTAGATGCATCATCCATGCAAGTTTGGTTCAGGCAGGGCTTATAGTTACTTGGGAATGAAAATATAGGTCAGATCTAGCATCCGAAGCAAGTCTGGTAGTGTCCATCTCTAGATGCATCATCCATGCAAGTTTGGTTCAGGTAGGGCTTATAGTTACTTGGGAATGAAGATATAGGTCAGATCCAGCATCCGAAGCAAGTCTGGTAGTGTCAATCCCTAGATGCATCATCCATGCAAGTTTGGTTCAAGTAGGGCTTACAGTTACTTGGGAATGAAAATATAGGTCAGATCCAGCATCCGAAGCAAGTCTGGTAGTGTCCATCCCTAGATGCATCATCCATGCAAGTTTGGTTCAGGCAGGGCTTATAGTTACTTGGGAATGAAAATATAGGTCAGATCTGGCATCCGAAGCAAGTCTGGTAGTGTCCATCCCTAGATGCATCATCCATGCAAGTTTGGTTCAGGCAGGGCTTATAGTTACTTGGGAATGAAAATATAGGTCAGATCTAGCATCCGAAGCAAGTCTGGTAGTGTCCATCCCTAGATGCATCATCCATGCAAGTTTGGTTCAGGCAGGGCTTATAGTTACTTGGGAATGAAAATATAGGTCAGATCCAGCATCCTAAGCAAGTCTGGTAGTGTCCATCTCTAGATGCATCATCCATGCAAGTTTGGTCCAATTAGGGCTTATAGTTCATTAAGAATGGACCTGCTCCAAAAACTTTAACCTGGTCACTCATCTAGAAAATGTAGGTCAGATCCAGCATCGGAAGCAAGTCTGGTACTGTCCATCCTTAGATGCATCATCCATTCAAGTTTGGTCCACGTAGGGCTTATAGTTCCTTAGGAATGGACCTGCTCCAAAAACTTTAACTTGGTCACTTGGTGCTAGGGATTTTGTATTTCACAATCGTGTTTCTTGTGAGAAAAAAACTAACTGGGTAATAAAATATTTAATTTGCATATAAGAAAATTTTAATTTTCGTTATGTTACCATTCGGGGTCATCAGTGTTTCACAAACACATCTTGTTTCATATATTGAGAAGAGATAGGGCTTTCATATATGACATGTGCATGCATTACCTGTGACAAGATAATTCCGAGCATGCTATGATTTCTTACCCCTTGACCTTGGCTTCACGATTGACCTTATTTAAAAAAAAAATCAACTTCAATGATAATTTCTCAATAAATGACTTATGAGAGGGTGTTCATATTAGACACAATATGTCATAAAAAATAAAATCTCACCCACAAAAACACCGAAAGCGAGGGACCACAGTTCATTGAATTAGCTTTTTATCTCTACATAAGAGATAAAGCAATCGTAATAACGACATAAATTTCGTTTAATATACATGTACTACATAGGGCGGTTTAATTTTCATTTTACGTATTAAGAATTAAAATGATAATAAACGCGTTAATGTCTCCCCCGCATCTCCAAACAACCGTTTCTATGGCAACTGCCATAAAGTTACTATCCTAAATATTTAAAATGTTTTTTATTTAAATTCCACGAGCTTTTGGATCAACCCTCGTATTTCATTATGACGGGACAACTTAATTAATCTGAAAAAGAACAACTCTGAATTTTGAAAATTTTATCTAGAGTATCCAGGCAAAGATGATGATGTACATAAAGAAAAATTTGTTTGTTGTTTAACATCCCTCTCGAGAATTTTTCACTCATATGGAGACGCCACCACTTGCCGGTAGAGAGCTGCAAGTTTTGTCCTATGCTCGGCACTTACAGCCATTGAGCAGTGAAATGGCTTTTTCGTGCCAGCACCTACTGCGACACGGGACCTTGGTTTATACGGTCTCATCCGAAGGAACGGTCTCCATGTCCCATCTTGGGATTCGAACCCGCGACGTAAGAATCAACTCTACATCGCGACTCTAGAGCCGACGCTCTAACCACTGCGCTACACGGGCGACTAAACAAGTCAAGACAAGACTGAACTAAAAACCAGAAGTCTCTGTCGAGACTGAAGCTCTACTGGTTTGAACTTATAGCAAAGGAAGAGAAAAGTACTTAAGCAGCTGGGATTTGAAACTAAATAGAAAAATGATGGTTGATAAAGTCTCTTTATGTTCTTAGTGTAGTCTACTTGTGTGCCAAGTTATACTGAAATCAGACCAAAACTGTAGGAGGAGTAGCATTTTGAAACAATTTTACAGACATTTCTATTTTTAGTAACAACGGCAACACCGTTCATCAAAATTAAAATTCGATACACAGAATTATGTATCTTAGTGTATTCTACTTATGTGCCAAGTTATATTGAAATCAGACCAAAACTGTTGGAGTAGTAGCATTTTGAAACAATTTTACAGATATTTCTATTTTTAGTAACCACGGCAACACCGTTCATCGAAATCAAAAACCGATAAATAGAATTATGTATCTTAGTGTAGTCTACTTGTGTGCCAAGTCATAATGAAATCAAACTAAAACTGTAGGAGGAGTAGCATTTTGAAAGAATTTCACAGAAATTTCTATTTTTAGTAACCACGGCAACACCGTTCATCAAAATCAAAAACCGATATACAGAATTATGTATCTTAGTGTAGTCTACTTGTGTGCCAAGTTATAATGAAATCAAACCAAAACTGTAGGAGGAGTAGCATTTCGAAAAAATTTCACAGAAATTTCTATTTTTAGTAACCACGGCAACACCGTTCATCAAAATCAAAAACCGATAAACAGAATTATGTATCTTAGTGTAGTCTACTTGTGTGCCAAGTTATACTGAAATCAGACCAAAACTGTAGGAGGAGTAGCATTTTGAAAGAATTTCACAGAAATTTCTATTTTTAGTAACCACGGCAACACCGTTCATCGAAATCAAAAACCGATACACAGAATTATGTATCTTAGTGTAGTCTACTTGTGTGCCAAGTTATATTGAAATTAGACCAAAACTGTAGGAGGAGTAGCATTTTGAAAAATTGTTTACAGACAGACGGACAGACGGGCAGACAGACGGACGGACGCCGGACGCATTACTATCGCATAAGCCCTTCTGGTTTCTGACCAGTAGAGCTAAAAATTAGATTAAACCAGTCATCTCGAATAATGAAATTCCATATAAAGACAGAAAGTACAGTTTTATGTACCAAGTAGCAAGGTTTAAGTCATTTAATACAGCTTGACCTTAACCAACAATATAAGTAATTTTAACAATTGGGGAAAATAAATCTGGATCTCGCAAACTCCCCTTTCGTCAATTTTCCGTCACCTGAAAATAAAAGAAGTGTTCAGAAATAAAATGAATATATTTGTTTACTATAAATAATTGAAATTTTTAAAATAATTCATTCATACCATTAGTATCAACTAATTGGAATGCTTTGTTTATTTTCAGTGCAACATGGAATTGCTTCAGTTTCTCGTGAATTTCCTTCAGAGTGATGACACCATCGCCATTTCTATCCAACTGTGTAAACGTGCAGCTATCGCGCTTACAAGACTGTGAAAAAAGAAAGAGATTTTGTAAGGCGTTCTTATAAGTAGAAATGATGATTAGAAGGTAGAGATCAAGATTCGTTGTCGCGTGCCTGCTAATCCATGTTCACAACATAATTAAGTTTTTACTGTCTGTGGAAAACTTTTTAAAATGCACCAGTGGGTCATATGCTGACTGACGTACTTTATACTTATTGTTAGGCCATTAATATTTGCACACCAAGAAGTTTACGGATATTTCCGTTTACCCGATCATGACAAGAGCACACGGCGGGTGTTACCCGTTGGCAGGGGATGGTTACTCCTCAATGGTACCTGATCAACAATTCTTTGCCCCTCTTAATTAAATGTCAGGCATGTATACACTGTAGTTTAACCCCTTTCGATCTCTCTTTGCTATTCTGACTTAGATAGTTTTCGAACCCGCTTGAAGATAGTGAACTGGGTTTTCTGACATGTTTATTGATATTCATTGGTGTCGAAAGCAAATTTAAAGTAGGGAGGGGGCTAGGTAAAAGAGAAAAAAAACAACCCTATACAAAACAAGCAAATTCAAAGAATTGTGGTCCCCCGCTTTCGGTGTCTTTGTGGTTGAGATGTTATTTTTATGACATATTGTGTGTAATATGAACATCCTATCATATGTCATTTATTTAGAAAGTAACTCTGAAGTTGATTTTTTTGAAGGATGAAAACCCTAATCCTGACCGTTAAAAAGTTATGGCCAAAGTAAAAAGTTTTTTAAAAGTAGGTCAACGCCAAGGTCAAGATCAAAGGGTCAAAGTTGTTGATATCCAATGAAAAGTTTTCTCACAAGGATTACATATGTGAAGTATGAAAACCCTAGCCCTTACTGTTTAAAATTTATGGTCAAGGTTAAAGTTTTTTCATAGTACATAAATCTTTAAGGTCAAGGTCAAAAGGTCAAAGTTGTTGATATCCAATGAAAGGACTTGCCACAAAGAATACATATGTAAAATATAAAAGTCCTAGTATCTACCGTTCAAAACTTGTGACCAAAGTTTAAGTATTTTAAAAAAGTAGTTAAAACTCCAAGGTCAAGGTCAAAGGGTAAAAGTTATTGGTATCCAATGAAAGGTCTTCTCAAAAGGATCACATATGTGAAGTACAAAAGCCCTAGTCCTCACCGTTCAAAAGTTATGGTCAAGGTTAAAGTTTTTTCATAAGTACATAAATCTCCAAGGTCAAGGTCAAAATGTCAAGGTTGTTGGTATCCAATGAAATGTCTTGCCACAAGGAATACATATGTGAAATATAAAAGTCCTCCTAGTATCTACTGTTTAAAAGTTGTAACCAAGGTTAAAGTTTTTAAAATGTAATTAAAACTCCAAGGTCAAGGTCAAAGGGCAAAAGTTATTGGTATCCAATGAAAGGTCTTCTCACAAGAATTATATATGTGAAGTACGAAAGCCTTCGTCCTCACCGTTCAAAAGTTATGGTCAAGGTTAAAGTTTTTTCATAAGTACGTAAATCTCCGAAATCAAGGTCAAAAGGTCAAGGTTGTTGTTATCCAATGAAAGGTTTTCCCACAAACAATACATATGTGAAATATGAAAGTCCTAGTACCTACTATTCAAAAGTTATGGCCAAAGTAAAAGTTTGGAATTTTTGTGTAAAAGTGGGTCAAACTCCAAGGTCAAGGTCAAAAGGTCAAATTTGGTGATACCCAAAGAAAGGTCTTGTCACAAGGAAAACACTTGTGAAATATGAAAGTCATAGCTCCACTAAATCAAAAGTTATGGGCAAGGTTAAAGTTTTTGTGACGGACAGACAGACAGACGAATGAGATTTAATGTCCCCTCGCTTTCGCGAAAGCGGGGGACAAAAAACTTGACAACAACAAAAAAATAATCAAGAGGCCCAGGGGCCCCATCGCTTATCTGAGCCACTGGCTAGGTAAAAGCTAAAATCGGTTCAGTATTGAAAAGTTTAAATATAAATAGGGATGTCAACGAATAGTCGACTATTCGACTCTCAGTCGAATGGATCGACGATCGAATAATGAAACGACATTCGAATATTAAACAAATGCAAGAAATAGAGGTGATTAAGAAATTCTCAGCTCAAAAGTGACAAAATCCTCATTCCTCATACCATTATAGTATATGTCCTCAGACGAATACATGTAAGAGCTCAATTGCCTTCACAGTATATGAATAATTTTCTACATTGAACTTGTGTAAAGTACAGTTAGTAATTGTATACCGCGATAATCATTTCTCAATTACTGACCTTTTTTGTTATAATTGTAGAAAATTATGCAGCTCCAAAACTGACTTCGAAAATTATTAATTGGACTTGTACTAATTATAAATTCATTATTACCTCTATGAATGTTCAAATGCTAGGAACACACCATAGCCGTAAAGTTTTGAATCTTCGGTAATTATCAAAACAATATTATTACATTAATAGCCAGGGTAATTATTAATTGAACACGCAGTATTTTACAATATTACCTGACGTGTGGATAATGTGTGTTTACCCCTCCCCTTATTCATCCATTTCATTATCTTATCTATTATCTCTGAGATTCAGTGTGCAATACAGGCATTTGATGTTACTTTTTACATAAATTTACGAAAAGGGTATTGAGTTATAAATACTCTATCGATGAGATCATTAAATCGACTATCGTTCGAATAATGCAATCAAATGTTCGACTAAGGAAAATGAATATTCTGACATCCCGAAATATAAACAAGCAAATTCAGAGAATTTATGTCCCCCGCTTAGGGAAAAAAGTAAACCATGCGCAGTTCGGAAGGGGGGGGGGGGGTGGGAGTCCGGATCAGTTTATTTTTCACTAATTCACAATTATCTCCCTTTGGAGGAGGGCGTGACCCTTCAATTGAACAAACTTGAATTCCCTTAACCCTAGGATACTTTTTGACAAGTTTGGTTGAAATCGGTCCAGTGGTTCCTGAGAAGATGAAAATGTGAAAAGTTTCCAACGACGACAACAACACGCTAACGACAACAACGACAGACAAGGGACAAATTTTCACCAGAAAAAAAGAAAATGTCTCCATTATCCAAACACGAAAATCTTATTCCGCGTGGGGTGGGTGGGGGTGGTAGGATCGAACTTATTTCAGTACGATAATTTTTTTTTTACAAAACACTACCACTTACCCTTTTGGATCTAATCTGAAAAGTGTCTGTTGAAAAAGAGGGAGCTAAACCTACGCCTGAATGTTCAATGCCTATCTTTGTCAAAAAAGTGGGGTGCCATCATTTCTAAATGGTCCAGTTTGCCGAAAGTTGCCGCGGACAAGTGGTATCTTTATACGAGTGGATCATCCCCGAAAGGTTAAACAAAACCTAGTACTAGTAATCCAAACAATGAAAGTGATTGATTGATTGTATACTGTTTAACGTCCCTCTCCAGAATATTTCACTGATATGGAGACGTCACCATTGCCGGTGAAGGGCTGCAAATTTGGGCCTATGCTCGGCACTCAGGGCCATTGAGCAGGGAGGGATCTTTAACGTGCCACACCTGCTGTGACACGGGGCCTCGGTTTAAACGGTCTCATCCGAAGGACCGCCCCATTTAGTCGCCTTTTACGACAAGCAAGGGGGTACTGAGGACCTATTCTATCCCGGATCCCCACGAAAGTGAATTCCAATGGTAGTTTTAATATTTTGCATGGAATCAAATGCAGGGGTTTTGGATTTTAGTTGAAAAAAAAAAAAAAACAACTAAACAATTCTTTTCTATACTTACTACGCATCGCTTCCTGTCCTGTGAAATGATAATTAGAACTGACCCATCTTCAAAAACTACTATTGTAACAGTGATCGTATCTGCTTTTCTTTCGCTTAATCTTTCACCAATATCCCTCTTTGTAATATTGTGTCCTTCCCACCACCACAGTAAGCCTTCCACAGGTGGAGAGAACAAATCCAACGACGATAAAAACCAAAATAGGGAAAATGCCACTACAAACTTAAATGAATCTTATCTGCATTATTGTGTGCTTTATACAGAAAAATTATACTTGATCTTTTTTGAAATTTTAAAACACCTGAAAGGTCTTCATCTAAAATTACTCTTTTCAAATCAATTTTACAGTGCAGTAGTAAAATACATTTATATTACCTTTTTTCAATTTTTCTTTTATATCTAGCTACGACACTGTCACACATTGTAATTTGTTACATTAACATAATTTACGTATTGCAATGTAAAGAAATTCAAAACTATCTATAACAATTATTGAAGATAGTTTGAATTTCTTAAATTCCAACACTTTCATATTACACATTTATTTTGTAAAATCACAGTTTCTTTAAAAGATTTTCTGCAATTTAAATGTATAGTTATATACTGAACAAATTATTCAGCTCCGAAATTAAAATCCAAACTTGATTGAAAATATTCATGAACAAAGGATTAAAACAAGCAAATTCAAAGAATTGTGGTCCCCCGCTTTCGGTATCTTTGTGGGCAAGATATCATTTTTAGGCTCAAGGTCAATAGGTCAAAGTTTTTGATATCCCATGAAAGGTCTTGCCATAAAGAATACATATATTTAAAATATGAAAGTCCTAGTTTCTACCGTTCAAAAGTTGCGACCAAGGTTAACGTTTTTAAAGAGTAGTTAAAACTCCAAGGTCAAGGTCAAAGGGTCAAAGTTCTTGGCATGCAATGAAATTTCTTCTCACAAGGATTACATACGTGAAGTACAAAAGCCCTAGCCCTTACCGTTTAAAAGTTATGGTCAAGGTTAAAGTTTTTTAAGAAGTACGTAAATCTCCAAGGTCAAGGTCCAAAGGTCAAAGTTGTTGGTATCCAATGAAAGGTGTTGTCTCAAAGAATGTATGTGTGAAATATAAAAGTCCTTGTATCTACCGTTCAAAAGTTGTGACCAAGGTTATAATTTTTAAAAAGTAGTTAAAACTCCAAGGTCAAGGTCAAAAGGTCAAACTTCTTGGTATCCAGTGAAAGGTCTTCTTACAAGAATAAAATATGTGAAGTATAAAAGCCCTAGCCCTTACCGTTCAAAAATTATGGTCAAGGATATAGTTCTTTCATAAGTACGTAAATTTCCAAGGTCAAGGTCAAAAGGTCAAAGTTTTTGGTATTCATTGAAAGGTCTTGTCACAAATAATAAATATGTGAAATATGAAAGTCCTAGTACCTACCATTCAAAAGTTATGGCCAAAGTAAAAGTTTGGAATTTTTGAGTAAAAGTAGTTGAAACTCCAAGGTCAAGCTCAAAAGGTCAAATTTGGTGGTACCCAAAGAAAGGTCTTATCACAAGGAATACACATATGAAATATGAAAAGTATAGCTCCACTAAATCAAAAGTTATGGGCAAGGTTAAAGTTTTTGTGACGGACAGACTGACGGACAGACGGACGGACCGACGGACAGACGAATGAGATTTAATGTCCCCTCGCTTTCGCGAAAGCGGGGGACAAAAACTAAGTTTGACTGTATTAAATGCTTAGTTTCCCCCTTTTTGAAGGGAAGTGCGGAGAAACAATGAAGTTTAAGTGTTACGTTTTAGACCTACCTTCATGGTTTGATTGATTCACTGCAAATATACAACAAAGATATGCTCACATATGTAAAAGTGACTCGTCATCCTGTTCTATCTGCATCCTGTTTGTTGAAATATGATTCTGTAACAACTTGGTGCAATCTAGATTGCATACAACTGTTTGCGATCACAAAAGCGTTTGTGACAATCACAACATGTAAAAGCAGGCTTCTGTTGTCCATGTTAAATTTTAATATGTTTATGCAGGGTACACTTTGATTTGTATTCACGGCAGTATAACTCACAAATTCCCGCTTCTGGTATTTCACTGAACGATGCATCCAAAGCTTTAAATCTATAAGAGAAAAAAACATTATTAACATGAACATCATCCTACCAGACATCAAAAATGAAGTCTAATCCGGCACATTTTCCATTAAAATTAAGTGATTCCTATCTAGCACATGCCAGCTTTTTAGAATCGAAATATTGTTGTTACAACATACGGTATAACAATTTCTCTTTCAAGAAAAGAGAGTTAAGAACCCTCTCTTCACTGCACATTCTAGAGTTCTGACTCAATGGTATTTTTTCAAACGTCAAAGAAATGCATTTGAATTTGAGGACAAAGTAAACTATTGAAGGCCACAAGCACAGTTGCAGCACTGGTTGCGCAGTTATAGTAAAAAGTTTGGAATTTTTGTGTAAAAGTGGGTCAAACTCCAAGGTCAAGGTCAAAAGGTCAAATTTGGTGATACCCAAAGAAAGGTCTTGTCACAAGGAAAACACTTGTGAAATATGAAAGTCATAGCTCCACTAAATCAAAAGTTATGGGCAAGGTTAAAGTTTTTGTGACGGACAGACTGACGGACAGACGGACAGACAGACAGACGAATGAGATTTAATGTCCCCTCGCTTTCGCGAAAGCGGGGGACAAAAAACTTGACAACAACAAAAAAATAATCAAGAGGCCCAGGGGCCCCATCGCTTATCTGAGCCACTGGCTAGGTAAAAGCTAAAATCGGTTCAGTATTGAAAAGTCTAAATATAAATAGGGATGTCAACGAATAGTCGACTATTCGACTCTCAGTCGAATGGATCGACGATCGAATAATGAAACGACATTCGAATATTAAATAAATGCAAGAAATAGAGGTGATTAAGAAATTCTCAGCTCAAAAGTGACAAAATCCTCATTCCTCATACCATTATAGTATATGTCCTCAGACGAATACATGTAAGAGCTCAATTGCCTTCACAGTATATAAATAATTTTCTACATTGAACTTGTGTAAAGTACAGTTAGTAATTGTATACCGCGATAATCATTTCTCAATTACTGACTTTTTTTGTTATAATTGTAGAAAATTATGCAGCTCCAAAACTGACTTCGAAAATTATTAATTGGACTTGTACTAATTATAAATTCATTATTACCTCTATGAATGTTCAAATGCTAGGAACACACCATAGCCGTAAAGTTTTGAATCTTCGGTAATTATCAAAACAATATTATTACATTAATAGCCAGGGTAATTATTAATTGAACACGCAGTATTTTACAATATTACCTGACGTGTGGATAATGTGTGTTTACCCCTCCCCTTATTCATCCATTTCATTATCTTATCTATTATCTCTGAGATTCAGTGTGCAATACAGGCATTTGATGTTACTTTTTACATAAATTTACGAAAAGGGTATTGAGTTATAAATACTCTATCGATGAGATCATTAAATCGACTATCGTTCGAATAATGCAATCAAATGTTCGACTAAGGAAAATGAATATTCTGACATCCCGAAATATAAACAAGCAAATTCAGAGAATTTATGTCCCCCGCTTAGGGAAAAAAGTAAACCATGCGCAGTTCGGAAGGGGGGGGGGGTCCGGATCAGTTTATTTTTCACTAATTCACAATTATCTCCCTTTGGAGGAGGGCGTGACCCTTCAATTGAACAAACTTGAATTCCCTTAACCCAAGGATACTTTTTGACAAGTTTGGTTGAAATCGGTCCAGTGGTTCCTGAGAAGATGAAAATGTGAAAAGTTTCCAACGACGACAACAACACGCTAACGACAACAACGACAGACAAGGGACAAATTTTCACCAGAAAAAAAGAAAATGTCTCCATTATCCAAACACGAAAATCTTATTCCGCGTGGGGTGGGTGGGGGTGGTAGGATCGAACTTATTTCAGTACGATAATTTTTTTTTTACAAAACACTACCACTTACCCTTTTGGATCTAATCTGAAAAGTGTCTGTTGAAAAAGAGGGAGCTAAACCTACGCCTGAATGTTCAATGCCTATCTTTGTCAAAAAAGTGGGGTGCCATCATTTCTAAATGGTCCAGTTTGCCGAAAGTTGCCGCGGACAAGTGGTATCTTTATACGAGTGGATCATCCCCGAAAGGTTAAACAAAACCTAGTACTAGTAATCCAAACAATGAAAGTGAATTCCAATGGTAGTTTTAATATTTTGCATGGAATCAAATGCAGGGGTTTTGGATTTTAGTTGAAAAAAAAAAAACAACTAAACAATTCTTTTCTATACTTACTACGCATCGCTTCCTGTCCTGTGAAATGATAATTAGAACTGACCCATCTTCAAAAACTACTATTGTAACAGTGATCGTATCTGCTTTTCTTTCGCTTAATCTTTCACCAATATCCCTCTTTGTAATATTGTATCCTTCCCACCACCACAGTAAGCCTTCCACAGGTGGAGAGAACAAATCCAACGACGATAAAAACCAAAATAGGGAAAATGCCACTACAAACTTAAATGAATCTTATCTGCATTATTGTGTGCTTTATACAGAAAAATTATACTTGATCTTTTTTGAAATTTTAAAACACCTGAAAGGTCTTCATCTAAAATTACTCTTTTCAAATCAATTTTACAGTGCAGTAGTAAAATACATTTATATTACCTTTTTTCAATTTATCTTTTATATCTAGCTACGACACTGTCACACATTGTAATTTGTTACATTAACATAATTTACGTATTGCAATGTAAAGAAATTCAAAACTATCTATAACAATTATTGAAGATAGTTTGAATTTCTTAAATTCCAACACTTTCATATTACACATTTATTTTGTAAAATCACAGTTTCTTTAAAAGATTTTCTGCAATTTAAATGTATAGTTATATACTGAACGAATTATTCAGCTCCGAAATTAAAATCCAAACTTGATTGAAAATATTCATGAACAAAGAATTAAAAAAACTAAGTTTGACTGTATTAAATGCTTAGTTTCCCCCTTTTTGAAGGGAAGTGCGGAGAAACAATGAAGTTTAAGTGTTACGTTTTAGACCTACCTTCATGGTTTGATTGATTCACTGCAAATATACAACAAAGATATGCTCACATATGTAAAAGTGACTCGTCATCCTGTTCTATCTGCATCCTGTTTGTTGAAATATGATTCTGTAACAACTTGGTGCAATCTAGATTGCATACAACTGTTTGCGATCACAAAAGCGTTTGTGACAATCACAACATGTAAAAGCAGGCTTCTGTTGTCCATGTTAAATTTTAATATGTTTATGCAGGGTACACTTTGATTTGTATTCACGGCAGTATAACTCACAAATTCCCGCTTCTGGTATTTCACTGAACGATGCATCCAAAGCTTTAAATCTATAAGAGAAAAAAACATTATTAACATGAACATCATCCTACCAGACATCAAAAATGAAGTCTAATCCGGCACATTTTCCATTAAAATTAAGTGATTCCTATCTAGCACATGCCAGCTTTTTAGAATCGAAATATTGTTGTTACAACATACGGTATAACAATTTCTCTTTCAAGAAAAGAGAGTTAAGAACCCTCTCTTCACTGCACATTCTAGAGTTCTGACTCAATGGTATTTTTTCAAACGTCAAAGAAATGCATTTGAATTTGAGGACAAAGTAAACTATTGAAGGCCACAAGCACAGTTGCAGCACTGGTTGCGCAGTTATAGTAAAAAGTTTGGAATTTTTGTGTAAAAGTGGGTCAAACTCCAAGGTCAAGGTCAAAAGGTCAAATTTGGTGATACCCAAAGAAAGGTCTTGTCACAAGGAAAACACTTGTGAAATATGAAAGTCATAGCTCCACTAAATCAAAAGTTATGGGCAAGGTTAAAGTTTTTGTGACGGACAGACTGACGGACAGACGGACAGACAGACAGACGAATGAGATTTAATGTCCCCTCGCTTTCGCGAAAGCGGGGGACAAAAAACTTGACAACAACAAAAAAATAATCAAGAGGCCCAGGGGCCCCATCGCTTATCTGAGCCACTGGCTAGGTAAAAGCTAAAATCGGTTCAGTATTGAAAAGTCTAAATATAAATAGGGATGTCAACGAATAGTCGACTATTCGACTCTCAGTCGAATGGATCGACGATCGAATAATGAAACGACATTCGAATATTAAATAAATGCAAGAAATAGAGGTGATTAAGAAATTCTCAGCTCAAAAGTGACAAAATCCTCATTCCTCATACCATTATAGTATATGTCCTCAGACGAATACATGTAAGAGCTCAATTGCCTTCACAGTATATAAATAATTTTCTACATTGAACTTGTGTAAAGTACAGTTAGTAATTGTATACCGCGATAATCATTTCTCAATTACTGACTTTTTTTGTTATAATTGTAGAAAATTATGCAGCTCCAAAACTGACTTCGAAAATTATTAATTGGACTTGTACTAATTATAAATTCATTATTACCTCTATGAATGTTCAAATGCTAGGAACACACCATAGCCGTAAAGTTTTGAATCTTCGGTAATTATCAAAACAATATTATTACATTAATAGCCAGGGTAATTATTAATTGAACACGCAGTATTTTACAATATTACCTGACGTGTGGATAATGTGTGTTTACCCCTCCCCTTATTCATCCATTTCATTATCTTATCTATTATCTCTGAGATTCAGTGTGCAATACAGGCATTTGATGTTACTTTTTACATAAATTTACGAAAAGGGTATTGAGTTATAAATACTCTATCGATGAGATCATTAAATCGACTA